GAGAGAGAGAGAGAGAGAGAGAATGAAAATATATGAGAATGTATGTACGGTATGTATGTAGAAGGCTGGCTCAGGCACTTGAAGTACAGAGTCTGAATGAATCTAGATAAGGTCACTCCAGGTCTCAAAAGTGAAATCCAGCCTGCCTAATTCCATTCTTGATTGCCCCATTACACTGCTTGCTCCCCGATTTCTGCGGAGTCATATTCCTTGGTTCTCTCCCAATTCCTGGATTAATTTTGGCTTCTCTCACCCAGCCACCTCCCCTATACGCTAAGATGAGGGTGAGGCAGGACATCTTGGCAAGTGAGGAGGTGAGGTTTGAAGTGACCAATATTAATGAATCGCAAATAGCTGCTGATGGAGAAGAGGGTGCAAATCTGCCATAAATCCAGGTTCCCAGGTAATGTCTCTCCTGGACTCTGTCGGCCGACCCTGCCCCAACTCCAAGGCTACCAGTGGAAAGGCAGTGAGTGAGTGGAGAGGGAGGAAGGTACTGTTATGATTATAGCAGACTGCAGTTCAGAGACGTGACCGCTGCTTGCTTGTCATGGGACTGTGAGCAGGGTGGGCAGAGTGAGGCCAGTTTGATGGGAGCATCCCCACAAAACACACACAGACATACACACACTTTCTCACTCATATCCCTTCTACCTCCTGAGTCAGTCTATGGCCCTGGGCTGTACATTAGAATCACCTGGAGAGATTAAAAACACAAATGCTCAGAGATCAAATTTACTGTATTTCCCCATGTATAAGACACACCCTTTTTCGAAAAATTTGGGGTCTAAAAACTGGGTGCGTCTTATACAGTGGTTGTAGATTTTTTTTTTACTTGCATTTCCCGCTTTTTTCGCACTTGTTTTTGCGCTCATACAACCACTGTATAAGATGCACCCGGTTTTAGACCCCAAATTTTTCGAAAAAGGGTGTGTCTTATACATGGGGAAATACGGTACTTGGTCTCCAGTGGAAGTTTTTTCTTACACTTCCCCAGATGGTTCTAATGTACAGTCAGGGCTGAGGAGGTCGCTGGAATAAATGTGTCTCCCTCCCGGGTGCAGGTGAACAGTTTCCCTGGACCTCCAGGTGGGCCTGAGGCCTTCTGCCTCTCTTAGGTTACAAGATCATGAGAATCCCAGGTGTTGACCCACCAGCTTCCTGGCCCCCTTCCCTTCGCCCATTTCTCTTTTCTTATTTTACAACTGGAAAAACAGGCCTTCAGGAGCTAGTGTACTTTCCTAGTATACAAGACCATACCTGTCCCAGAAACCAGGGGTTCTTGCCCTCATGTCTGAAGCCCTACATGTAGGCATGGATGACTGCCAAGGTTATGATTTCATCATTCTAAAGATTCTAAAGAAATGACTTCTCTCCACCCTGTGTACCATTTCATGTACCTCCTCAGACTCGCCTTATGCAATTAGAGGAAAGAATTTAGATCTTGGAAGTCAGAAGATCTAGATTTGAATCTTAGTTCTGCCAAGGGTGTTCTTGGACCCCATCCAAGCCTTAGTTATAATAATCCTTTATGGGGTAGGTGTGCAAATGGAACAGAGAACATGCTTTGGAACGTTAAGATGCTTTGCAAATATTCCTTGTTGGAGCAGTTATCTCATCATCACCTGTCATGACCCAGGGATGTGCTCTCAAGGCAGGAGAACATCCTCCATTAGACTTGGGAAAGCGTGAGGTTGGCTGCCTCCTTTCTCTCCCCAGGAGGAAGCTGAGCCTTGCGGGGAGCCTCCAGCAATCTCCTCCCCCTTGGGCTCCAGACAGTGGGTGCATAATCCTTTCTTCTGGCAACGGGTAGCGTGAAGGATAGACTGGCGTCATCTTTGTATGGCGGTCATCCTGGCCCTTTCATTCTGCCTTCCTGGTGGCTGGTGGTCTCATTCCTTCTGCAGGTCTCCCTGGTTGTGCAGTTCTTGCCCCAAAGCCATTCTGCATGAGGGGAGCCCGCCCCTGGGTCTACCCTCCCCAGCTGCTCCTGATGGCTTGGCCTGTTGGGTCCTCCTGGGTAGTGAGGTAGTTAAAGAGAAGGCAGCTGTGTGACACCCAGCCCCTAGAGCTAGTGAGTTTGCTTTGAGCTCCTCCGTCTTCCATTGTAAAGGTAAGGCCTGGGAGGCCTGGGTTGGAGAGGCAGCTCACCAAATCCCAGGCAGTGTAGCAGTGGCCTCGCCATCCCTCTCAGTTACCTGCTCCCTCCCTCCTTCCTTTCTGGACTTGCTTGCCAGTTGGTATAGTTACTAGGTGCCAAGTGGCTCATTCTCTCCCAGTGACCCGTCCAAGAGTTACTAGAGATGTTTGTTCCTGGATAGGCCTCCTTTAAGCGGGGAGAATGGGATGATGCTCTACAGAAGCCCCGCATCCATGGGCTGAGTGCTGGAGTCTGGGGACAGGCCCTTCCCTTCAGGCCTTTTTCCCAATCTGTGAGCAAGGGGCAATCCTAGCTGCCCCCCACCCCAGGACTGTGGAGCCCACATGGATGGAAAAGTTAGAGGTGCTGTGTAGATGTCAGAGATGAGGGGCAGGGTGGTTGATGGGACAGGGCTATGTTCCCAGGTGGCCTGTCCCCAGGTAGGCTGTCCCCAGGTGGGCTCTCCCAGCTCCTCTCCTCCAGCCAGGGAGCAATTCCCCACGTTTCCTCCCGCCCTGTCACTGCAGGATGTGTCCACACGGAGGCAGTTCCTGAGGGAGCACCCGATCCCCTTCTCTGCCTTCCTCACTGACAGCTTCGGCCGGCAACACAGCTACCTGCGGATCTCCCTCACGGAGAAGTGCAACCTCAGATGTGAGTCTCACCCCTCGGCCCTCCCTGGGCTTCTGAACCCGCCCCCGGCCCAGAAATCCTCCTCAGTCCTCCCAGTTCCTCTTTCGAACTACTTCCCCACCCACCCGTCTTCCTTGCTTGCCAGGTGGGGTTCAGGGACAAGATAGGGGTGACGGCTGAGTTTCGTGATCCTGGAAGCAAGGTTGCACTTGGGATTAGATTTGAGAACAGCATTGCCGTTGTGGTTAAGATTAAAGTTGGTTGTGGATCCCTCACTCTTCAGGATTCTTTTCTTCCTCCCTCCCATGGCCCTGCAGTGCCCGTGGCCAACTCTGCCAGCTGTGGGGACACCCCAGTCTCGTGACAGAAGTTGTCTGCAGCCAAGCTGTTACACAGTCTTCGTTTCATAATCCCTTCCGGAGGGAGCACTCTGGGGGGTTTATCCACTGGGGAGGGACTTCCAAAGTTCATGTGCCCCCCTCCCCTTCTCTCTTCCTCCCTTCCACTGTAGCTCACAACAAGAAATGTGTTTACTTCATGGCCCAATAAATAACTGTGTGTGTGTATAGTAAACGTTTAACCAAACAGTATTCACTCCATGCAGTACTGATGTTCTGATATTCTTACCTATTCTATTTTGTCTTCAAAAACCAATTCTGGACCCTTCACTAACTTGGCTAAATGCCCTGCTTACAGATCGTGGCCCAATCCCTGATAACACACTGACGGGAGGGAGGGAGCCCCCCTCACCTGCCAGGACTCCCCTCATTTACCTCATTCTGCTAGCTCACCCTGAATGACCAGTACCTCAGCTTTCCAGCCGGTAAAACGGGACTGATGATGACCTGCACTAGATAGGCTGCTGAGGAGAACTGGTAGCCACACAGGACAGTGGCTTTTACCAGCCCAGAGAGCACTTCCCAGCCTCTTTCACCTCATGGCACACACGGAGACGGGTAGCTATTGGCCAAAACCAGATGAAATGAAACAGGGCAAGGAATGCCAGAGGGAATGGGCCCAGAACTGAGGGAATAAGTGTCTTGGCATCTGTCTACCCCAAGCCAGGCTCTGCTCTCAGCCTAGTTGATCATCTTTAACCTATACCCTCAGCTCCCCCACGGAGGGATATTACTGTGGGGCGGGAGTGTTAACATTGCATAGATGAGAAAATCTGGCCTAGGATCTGTACCACCTCAGAGTTGGCGCAGTCTCTCCTCACTCTCTGGGTGGGGTTCAGGAGGACGTTCTGGGCTGGTGGGAGACATTGGAGACAGGCGACAGCATGGGCCTGACGCCCGTCATTATTTCTTGCCTCCACATCGCTTCTCTTCCTTGCAGGTCAGTACTGCATGCCCGAGGATGGTGTCCCACTGACCCCCAAGGCTGACCTGCTGACCACAGAGGAGATCCTGACCCTTGCACGGCTCTTTGTGAGAGAAGGCGTGGATAAGATCCGCCTTACGGGTGGAGAGCCGCTCATCCGGCCGGATGTGGTGGACATTGTGGGTGAGTGTGCCGAAAGCTGTCACCACTGCTCCCGGCTTCCGCCTCGTCCAGCTGGATTCAGATAGTAATGCGAATCTCGGCAGCTAACTGTCATTTAGAGCATTGTGCTCATTAGGTCCTGCCACCCTTTGACAGATACCACTATTCACATGATGCTAGGAAGTGAGGTACAGAAACATTCAATAACTTGTCCGAGGTCACAAAGCTAGTAAGTGCTGGGCCCAGAGGCTTGTCGTCCAGTTTGGACTGAAGTCCTCCACAGGGTCTGCAGGCTCATGGTGACGTGACTCCTGCTGACCCCCACGACCTCTTGCCTGCTGCTCTGCCCCCTGTCCCCACTGCAGCCATGCTGCCAGGCCTTTACACTTACTGTGCTCTTCCTGGGAGCACAGGGCTCACTGTCTGCCTCACTCAGGTCTCTGCTCAGATGTCATCACCTTGAGGAGGCCGCCTTGAGTGCTCTCTGTAAAGGATATCCCCTTATACAGGTGTTCACTTGTTACCTGAAATGTAATAAAAACAAAGTACGTCACTGCATAGACAGCCCAGCCACGCTCTGTCCCAGGAGTTGGCGAGGCACAGCCCACAGGCCTAACCTGGCCAGCCCACCTGTTTCTGTATGGCCTGCAAGCAGAGAATGGTTTTTATGTTTCTGAAGATTGGGAAAAAAAAATTGAATAACATTTATGGCATCTGAGAATTATATGAAATCCCGAATTCACTGTCCATTAATAAAGTCATGTTGGCACATAGCCTCACCACTTATTCACATTTCCCATGCTGCTTTTGTGGAGCTGAGTAGTTGCAACAGAGACCACGTGGTCAGCAAAGCCAAAAATATTTACTCTCTGGCCTTTTGCAGAAAAAGTGTGGCAACTCCTACGCTCTCCCATTATCCTGCCTTTTTTGTTTGTTTGTTTTTTATAGCATTTATCTCATCTTCATGTTATGTTATTTGGTTGTATGTTTCCCCTCCCTTCCTTCCTTCCTTCCTTCCTTCCTTCCTTCCTTCCTTCCATCCTCCCTCCCTCCCTCCCTCCCTCCCTCCCTTCCTATCTTCC